GATTCCCATTCCCCCACGTGCCTGTCAGTCTGCTCTATTGTAACTATTTTGGTGATTTTCTGTCTTTTTTACTATCTTCTGACCTCCTGGATTCCTCCAGAAGTTTCTAGCTTTGGTGATACTGTGATGGAAATGCATGAAAGCTCACTGGCTATAATTGTTTTTTTTTAATAACCAGTTGCTTCTAAATGTTACAAAGGACAGACCTCTGCTAGACCGCAGAACAGAGTCACAGTGCACCCCCTTTCCTGCGGTGGAGGAGCAGGCTCACAGTCACAAAGTGGGTGGGGGTTCTTTAGAGGGTTTTGTTTTTCTTTTTTTCTTTCTTTTTTTTTTTTTTTTTTTTTTTGCTTTTTCACTGTGCTAAGGGTAAGACCCAACTGCCTGGAGGCTCGTTTGTTTCCCACAGAGGTAAGAAAAGAAAGCAGGGTAAGAACAGCAGTGTAAAACAGAATTCCTCAGGAAAATGGCACTGAAGCAAAGTCCCGGTAATGCCACCAATCAGAGAGTGGGGTTCAGCTGCCCACCACCACCCACAGGCAAATTCTGGAGGCAGAGCTTTGGCAGGAAAAGGGAGGAGGTCTTTTACGCAAAAGCCGCACAGTCTGGGAGGGTGGCAGGCTCTCGTCTCGAAGCCCGTCCCCCCGGGCGCCCAGAGGAAACCCAGCCGTGCGTGTGCTGCCAGGCCGAGGCCGTGCCTTCCCCACTCAGAACGCCATCCCTCGGGGACCACAGGTGGCAGCCACACAGCATCCAGGTAGCGTGGCTCCGTTCCGGCTGCGGTCTGGCCCAAGGCGCCTTCTGGAGTCTGTCTGTGGGACCCATGCCGCCACCATCGAGAGGCTTTCAGGGCCCAGCCAGTCTGCAAACCACTTCAGCCCACACATCCACAGCAGCAGGTCCCCCAGGAAGGGAGCGCATTTCTCCCTTCCCTGCTTTAAATCCAAAGGCCCGAGCCTCTGTGCGCTCCAGGGAGGTCCAGCTCCTGCAGCCAGTCCCATCCTTTCCCCATTAGACTGACCCGACAGCACCTCGCCCTGCCGCCACATCGACCTTTACTGGACTCGGGCGGCTGCGATCTCTGGTCTCACCTTCAGTCAGGCGTGGGGGGGCTTCTTCCCTTGTAAGCCATTCTCGCTGTCTCCGTGCACGCTCAGCGCGGTGACTGCCTGCAGCGTGGCTTGGCCCGGTCGTGGAGAATTCACCGTCACGCACAGCTCTGCTGGGGCCAGGCAGTGCTCACCTGCCCTGGGGCAGTGCCCTCCCTTAGCCAGGGTCTGGCCAGGTCTGTCCGTATCAGGAATGCCAAGTCAGCGAAACAGAGTCCACAGAACCAGGTTTTACAGTAATGCCCGTGCTGATGGCAAGACCACGAACACCCCAGCCCGGGCCTCTTTGAAGTGGCCGACAGAATTTTTCTAATGTGCAAACCCACCAGCAGGTGGAATTAGCTCATGCTAACATGATAAATACTTACTGATTATCTTCCTAAATTAGGTTGACCTCTATTGGTAAGGATCATAACTTTCAACAAAGACTTGTTTGGCTTGCTAAATAAATTTTGCACTGGTGCTAAGATGGACATCTCACAGGGGTTTTGAAGGGCCCCTCTTCAGCTCTCAGTCTCTCGTCTGTGCAGTTTGTCAGAGTGGGCCGTGGGCCATGCTGCAGCGTCGCATGAGAAACCTCGCACCGTCCCGGCCACTGTATCGCCACCCACGCATTAGTCTCCACGGTCAGTGTGTGCCCAGCCCAGTCCGCCGCTCTGTGTGTCACCCACTGTCGTTGTGACTTTCAGATCTGCGGCGCCTGTTTAACCATCTCGGTAAAAGTGATTGAGGAAGTAACTTTATCTTTTTTTTTTTCCAGCTGATAATCACTTTTCCCGTTTTCTTGGTCTGGTTAGAAATATCTGTCAGAAATACTAACTGAACTGCAATTTTCTGTAAACTGTAATATATTATTAAAATCAGTGGTAGTTCTAGACCTTTTTTACCTAATATGTAAATGAAGAGATTCACGGGCATAAAAGCTGATGGATATCTTTAAGCTTACTACTTTCAAATAAATAGCTTCAACATTTAAGGAAGATAAGTGTATCTAAAAAGAAATATTTTCACCCCATCTGTAAATGAAAATTAAAAGACAAAGGCTTATAAGTGACATTGTGGTTTTTCAATTTGCTTCTGGTTCCCCCCCCCCCTTTTTTTCTTTTTTTGGTGGGAAGTCCTAACTGGGGATCCAGATAGTCTAGGTCTAAGCCCACACTCTACACTCAGGGACCACTGACCTCGGTCCAGATACGTTTTCCGAGTCTCGTCCTTCTCCCCAGTAGAGTCGGAGGTGGCTCCCAGGAGGAACCGATCTCAGATTAGCGGTTATGTGCGGGGAGGAGTCCGTGTTCCTGAGTACACAGTGCGTGACGTCCTGCTGTTACTGTTTCATTTGACTTAGAGTAATGTTCTGTATATTTTTTTGATCCTCACCTTAGCCTTAGGATATTTTTGAACACACACAAGTAAAAAATAATACGTCAGTTCTAGTGAAGTTATATTTTGTGTTCAATATAAAACAGCACCTTTTAAAATAACAAAGTTGAAATAAATATTTAATCTATAATAGTAATAGAAATTACTTATTTTACTCTAATTTTTTAGTGACTGCAGTGTAATTGAATACATATTATTTTATATAATCTTGGATTACTGATTTGAATGTCTGCCTCTCTGTTTTTGTTCATTTTGGTACTTTATTGGGTATCAGAATCAACATTAAAAATGTTAACTAAAGTACATTTATCACACTAAATAAAAGTACATTATTGAGTCCACCTAATGAATCATGTTAATTTTTTAGTTTCATTGACCAACAGTGCAAAGGTTTTGATAAATTGTGCCTTGTAAATTTCTATCATCTCTGGTATTAATCAATTTGAATTGCAAAATAATTAAATAGTGGCCCATTTTACTATTAAAAATCAAGTCCAAACACAGTGGAACTCTACATTTATAAAATGATTATAATGATTAAAAATTACATTTTCAAGTTATGAAAGTACATAGACATGTAAAATTCTTATAAAATATATATATCAATTTTGGCAATAAAATTACATAATGATTGGAATATATAATTTCAAACATTTGTTTTCAAAATGCCTGTCATTAGCACAATTTTTGATATAATTATCACTCATTATAAATGAATCAGCTAAGATCTGAATTCTCATTTACTGCTGATAGAAATGTCAATTCATACAAGCTCTTGAGAAAATTGTTTGAACATATCTACTTAGGTTAAACATATATAAATGAAAGTGGACACTAACACTAATGACATGACCCAGCATTTCCGCTTCCGGGCAAATGCCCAACGTAAATTAGCCCTAACAAGTAACACAGGGATGAGAGTGTCCCCGACAGCTTTGTCCACAGTGACTAAGCACTGGAACCAACCCAAAGGACAACAGGAGATGTGTCCGTCCTCATTCTGCTGTAGTGTTACATTTCTATAGATACAGCACAATTTTATTCAAAATATTTTTTAATAAACAATGTGGATGAACCCCACAGATACAAGGTCAAGTGAAGGGGCCAGGCACAAAAGAACACTTAGTGATTCTGCATATGTTACAGAATATGCTGGAGATTCTCCCATGCAAAGATCTTTTACAAAATGAAGCATATCCTCTTTTTTAAAAAATTACAGTTTACATTCGATACCATTCTGTATTAGTGTAGCCATAGCATCTTCTAGCTGCCGGGACAGTTAAACAGTGAGAATACCGAGCAGCCGTGAGGTACCCAGACTTCCTTCAGAATAAATGTTTGTTGTACCAGAGGTGACACGGGCTGCCTGCCGTAGAGTGCAAAGCCAATAAGAGAGTTAATGAAGGTATCTCTCACTGATGGGTTAAGTAAACTGTGGGTTAAATGGTTTCTTTCCCCGCTCAGAGTCTCTGGTGCCTCGGCAGCCACATTTGACTGCGGAGAGGAGCTGAGTGACAGCTCCCTGCTGCGTGACAGTTGGTGGACTGATTGCTCAGTAAACCCTCAGAGGAGAGGGATGGCTGGTGGTGGCGTAGAGCAGGAGTTAGCAACCTTTGTGTGGTCTCCGTCACAAGGACTCAACTCTCCAGCCATCCAAAATTGGTTTTCTTTTCTGCGATCAGCTGTACGTAGGTCTTCAGAATTGTTATTTACATTCAGACAGACAGTCCTGTAAAAAGGTTAAACTTTTAATGACTCCACTGATTTGTGCCTTCGGTGGGGGCTCCCTCAGCCTCAGCAGCACAGACGAGGGTGAGGAAGCTGAGATCTGCACTGTGCGTAACTTGCCCTGAGCCCGTCCCCAGTTACGTCTCCTGGGCGTCTGTGTCCCATCCCAGAATCAGTACTTCCCAGCCATCCGCATCTTCTTCCTTCATTAGGGTGGGTATGGGGAAGAGCTGGGAGACCTGAAACAAGCTAAGTACACAGTAACCAGCAGAAAGAACCTCGGAGGAAAAGCAGGTGGAAGCTCCGCCCCTCGTTCCAGGTGGAAGCAGGCGCGTGGAGAGCACCTGCTCTGTGCCGGAAACTTTCCCTGAACTCTCTCAGCTGGCGGCGCAGGAGAAAGGCTCGGGAGCAACAGGGTAGATTTTTTAATGCGGTTTGGTTTCATATGTTATGTGAGAGATAAGGTTGACTTTGTTGAGCTTTTGATGCCATGGCAACAGCAAACTCTGTGTGTGTCCTTTAGCGCAGTAGTCTGCCGTCAACCCAAAGCAGCACGCAGCATGTTGGTTGTGACTCTGGAACGCGGGGCGTCACTTCTGCTTTCCAGAAGGCGCAGATGTCACAGTTGCTCCTCAGCAGTGCGAGACCCCCAGGGGGAGGAGCAGAAACACTTCTGAACCTCTGAACATCTATTGCGTGTGGCCAATTGTCAGACAGTTTCACTATCAGAAAAGATGTGTCCGACTCAGCCTCCTGACCCTGTTCTCTTTCCCTGTCATTCAGGAGGAAGGACGCTGGCTTCCTATCCCACAAAGATCACCTGCCGGTGAGCCAGGTGGTAGTGGGGGATACTGACCGGCAAGGCTCGGAAGCGAAGCTGAGTGTGGGCCCCCTGCGCTGCCAAGGAGACAGTAAGTGAACCCAACACTGTGGCTTTCATTTTTCTTGCTGTTTCCCCACCATCAGAGGGGGCAGGAAAGAAACGGCTCTTTTTTTCTTGTGAAGAAACGCCCTGTGAGGGAAACAACCCCGTGGAGAGCTAGGTCGACCTCAACGCAGAGGAGGGGGATGACAGCCATAGAGTCTTCCGTTCGGGGAGCCTGGATCAGGGCATAAAGTGTAGATAGCCGTCTTCCGTGTTTTCTCGTATGTAACAACTTGGACTACCTAAGTTTATGGTGATACATAAATAGCAAAGCTAATAGCGTAAAAGCAGCAGCTGTGGTTCCACTGAGTGCTGCTGTTAATGCCATTAGCACGACTATTTATATCGCCATAAATGGGGTTGATGGAGATATAAATAGTGCCATTATGGTTTAATGTATCACTGTAAACTTAGATGATGGTTATATAAAGCTTGACATTATTGCTATCAAATTTCATCATCATCAGAGTTTGATACTCCCTTGTAAGCCAGAGATTGTTTCCGTACCTATGTCCTGCTTTCCAGTTCAGCACCACAGAGTCACTGGGGGTGCCGCTGACTTGGATTGTGGAGGCAGAGTGGTGGCCCCACCTACTCAGGGCACCCTTAGGGTTTTACGTTGCCTGATACCCTCCAGTGTGCTTTCTGTGCCGCCAGAGGGAGGTGAAGACGGGTTGCCATGGGGATTCTGCAATGAGCATCCTGGGGACCATTCTCGCCTGTGCCCATGATTGGCGTACCTCCCCTGGGAGTTCTCTGCTTTGGTGATTGGGTCCTAGGCATCGGGAGACCTGGATTCTGTTCCCTGCATAAGTGACTTGCCAGCACACCTCGGGTGAACCCTCCATTTGTCGGGCTGTGCTAATGGGAAGACCACCTGTGTCCAGCCCCTGCTGGGAAGGCCATAAAGGTTTTGATGCCTGGGTCTGACCCCTCCCGGCAGAGCATTTAGTGAGATGGAATATCCCTGCCATTCCATTAACAAGGGAGAAGCAAAACTGCTCGGTGCAGCAAACTATTGCGTCCACTCAAAGAGGTGCCCTAAGGGACGCACCGTTCCCCGTTAACCACTTACCATTTAGTCAGCGGGGGCTGTTGGGCATCAGACAAAGCCGTGTTCCAGATACAGACGATGCTGGCTTTTGTCTTCTCACATGGAAAAAATGAAAAGGCTGTAAGCGGAGACCGGCCCAGAGAGCGGATCACGCCCTTGTGACTGGCCGTGCTCCTGTGAAGCAATATCACTTCATTGTCTAGTCGGGCTTAGAACTGTGCAGTAGGACATTTAGCTTCAACTATTTAAGGAAAAATATTGACATAAAATTATAAATATGCATTTTTTAACAGAAATTTTGAGAGATGGACTATAGTTTCATTCTCAAAATAGGCAGGTTCTTGTGTTGTCTCATAAAAATCAGTTTCTTTATGTCATAACTACTCAAATATATACAGGTAAACCATTTCTCACTTAGTTCTAATTCTGAAGTTAGCTTTGAATTAGAGAAAGGGTTCCTATTAAGTAATGGATTAACTCAGTATAGTTAATATCAAAGTCCCACTTCTGCAAACTTTTGTTACTGTTCTTAAAGAGAAGATTCGAGCTACCTTAAATAGTATCTGTAGCAGTATAGTAACAGTTTATTAGCTTGTTTTTCTTAATCAATTAAGTCCACCCTCAAGAAGAACGTGTTCCGTGTCCGCTCGGTCCCCAGCACTTTACTGCCTGCTCTGGGGAACAAGGTCACTGTGTCTGAGTCCATTTCTCTTTTGTCTGTTCATTCATATTGTCCTTTGGATCCATGTGTGAGTGAGACCCTGTGATATCTGTCTTTCTCTGACTGGCTTATTTCACGTAGCATAGTATCTTCTAAATCCATCCGTGCCATCGGGGAGGGGGTGGGGGGCTGGGTGGAAAAGGGGGAGGGGTTGAGAAGCACAGACTGGTGGTTACAGAGCAGTCACGGGGGTGTGAAGTCCAGCAGGGGGAGCTGGTCAGTAGTATCGTCGTAACTGTGGTCCCTGGTGGGTCCTGGAAATACCAGGGGCACCACTTTGTAGAGTACGTGGTCGTCTAACCACTACACTGTGCACAGGAAAAAATATTGGAAAGCGCAGAATGTTTTATGATTTAATACTGGACGGCGCAGTACAAAATTACTGCAACTGGTGCTCAAGAAAGGAGTGATAAGTGGTATGTTCGAGAAAGAGTTTGCATTTAGGAGGACACTGAGGGACGTGTGACGGCCGGCGCATTGGCGTTTCTCTCCCAGGGCTCTGTTCCTGGGGGCACGTTGGGGACCGTCGGTGAGACAAAGAGCCCTCCGACTCCTTGACACCACATGGCTGCGTTTCTCTCCCAGCACTCGGCTGCAGGGGCCCTTAATCTGTGTTTCACCTGGTACTTTAGGAAAACAAAAGCGCATCCAGTATTTAATTACAGATTGTAGAATACTTTTGTGTCTGAGACGTGTGTGTGTGTGTGTACATATATATATGTATGTGTATATATACAGAGAGGGAGAGAGAGGCTTCCTTTTCTGCAGGTGCCGTGACTGTTACACCTCACACCTGCGTTGCCGGGTAGCCGTCAGCAGTCTCGCTGGCCACCTTCGCTGGAACGATACTGGACCAGTAGTAAGCGCTCCACGTCACAGCACTTCCCAGCTTTTACGCGTGTATGATTTCCTTGGATACGGAGCCCCTCCCCCCCCAGGAGATGGGTGAGGTAAACATCAGCCTCTCTGTCTGACAAGTGAACAAAGTATCTTTTAAAATGTCGTTCACACAACACACTTCTGTGCCCTTGCGCAGCCTCTCGGAGGCCCCAGGAGGAAAAACAGAGCAGAGAATACGAAGGGTTCCACACAAGGTCAGGGTTGTTTTTTCTGCTGTCTTCCGTGAGTCAATCGCTGGTCACATTGGCTTAAAAACATGTCACTTGGGTCTTATCCCCGGACTCCCACCACCCGCTCACAGCCCGTTATCAATACTGCATGAATGTCACGGGGCTTAAAATCCAATTTTTGTAATTTAAAAAGTGCTATAGTGCATTTATCCTGTTGTTTATAGAGATTAACCTACTGTCATTTACTGAAGTCTGTGCAAAGCCACAGTTTAAAAAAAAAACAAATCCATTGTTGAAAACCGTCCTTCTCTGTTTGAGGAGCTGAGTGATGGCAGCCGCCAGAAGCTCACTTGAATTGGGTCCCAGTTCTATTCGCTGCTCTTGGAGAAGGAAACCATTTGTGTGGCTCCGACCAAGCGTTTTGGGGGCGCTGGTTGATTTCATCCTGCCTGCTGAGCTTCGTTTTTACTGTGATTCATCTGAACTCATAGACCCATCAAATCAAACTGCTAAAGAAAATCAGTGCGTCCTGCTCAGGTCTGCTGCCTTCCCCACCCAGCTCTGTAAAGTGCTTTTTCCCCCGCCCTTCAGCTACACTCAGATGGAAACGTCCATTCTAAATGAAACCGAAAGCATGACCGGGGATGGACAGTTAACCCTGATAAAAGACGCGGTAAAATTACCAGGCCCACTTAAACCGCGTGTCCACGCCTGGGAAGAAACAGAAGAGCCAGTTAGAGGGTCCACACCACGGAGGGAGTGGAAATTACATTCAAATTCATGTCCGTTCTTGGAGGGGGCAGCCCAACTCTTACGGAATTAGTTCAAAAAAGACGTTATTGGAGTGGGGGAAGTAGAAGTCTTATTCATACCATATACAGTGAACATAACTGATTATAGGACTAATGCATTTGCTAGATAACTGCTCTCTTCTTAGGCATATGAGGTAAAGATTTCCAATATTGCCCCTAGGGATACAAGGACTTACAACAATTAATTAGGAGGAAGTTTGCTGCAAAAGCAAGTGTTTCCAAGACACCCGGCTAGAAATAGTTCAGGAAACGTGTTCTGCAAGGGTGCCCGAGCTCGGGCCAGCAGCCCGCAGGGCGCGGAGTCGTGCCGGGGTTCCGTGTGAATTCGGTCACTTAGAGCTGCGGAGGTGACCCCAAAAGGCCAGAAGAAAGGGAGGCCAGTAGCAGGTCCGGTTCGGGAGCCCTTGGCACAGACAAAGCACAGGGAGGGTCAGAGAAATAAACACGGACTGCGTGGTATCCAAATGCTAGTGGACACTGCTCTCTGGGATGTCATCTCGGGTGCCCAGGTCACAGAAAGGCCACGCTGGCTTTGCTGCTGGACTTCTACACACCTGGACCGTAGCCAGCCCTTCCTTTACCAAGAAAGACAGATGATGACCTTCTCTACATGGTGTTTCGCCGCAGAGAAGACGTTTCTGGAGGGGGTGCCGAGGGGTCCCGTGTGCCCAGGGCACGTACCCAGGGGCACACGGGTGGGCCCGGCCGGCCCCCACGAGTATCCATGTGAGACTGACGGCAGTGAGTGAGGGCTGGACAGGGTGGGGGGCAGCGCCCCCCCGCTGAGGATGTGATTCTACTGTGGACAGGAAACCGCTCCCGGGTTCCAGAGAGGGGCAGAGAGCTGGCATGTCCCCTTTTCTCTGCTGTGACGGGCTGGGAAGAGACGAGAAGGGGAAAGGGCCCAGCGTGTTAGGACCTGCAGGAGGTGACACCTTTGACTCCGGTGTACCAAGGTGAAAGTGGAACCAGGGTGGTCAGCTGCTCGGCCAGTCGGTGTCAGAGCACGGGGCGGAGGTTCCAGAGCCAGTCCCGGACGGGAAGCATTTCATCACTCTCGGGGGTCATTTCTCGCCCTTCCCGGTTCCTTCCCACAGGACATAGCCGTGCCTACTTGCCTCCAGTGGGGCAGCAGCAGGAAGAGCACATCACGGGGTCCTGATGGCGGCCGTCCTAGGGGTCCAGTTGTGCAGACCTCGGCTCCGCAGGCAGGGAGCCTGGGTCGGCGGAGGTCAGGTGGCCGGCCCAGGGGCTCCCTGGTGGTTCAGCACAGCACACACAGAGAGAACGTTTGACACGAGCCTTCGTCTTTAGGGTTCCCCACGGCCA